GAAATAAAAATGATTGAAAAACAATCAAAATAAAGCCCAATAAATTCAAACTTTTTTACAACTTAAACTATGTTCCATCTGATGCCAGCACTCACTTGAGGCAGATAAAAGTTCCACAAAGTTACAAAGATAGCAAAGAACAGCATCAATGTGGGAAAAGATGAAAAATGACCTTTGGGAGTTCAGGGATCTTTCAGTTGTTAAAATTGTGAGAGAAGCTGGTATAGATCTGAGAAGCCCAAAGGTTAAATCCAACCTTCTGAATGTTACGGTTAAACTGTGATGTATTCAACATGTAAACTAGCAGTGATTCAGATTATTTAATAAGACTCTTGAATTAGCACTTAAGTAAAAACCCATCAGCACTTAAAAATTCTTTCATTTTCTTTAAGATGAAAATATGCATTTACCAAATAGCTTAAATTTAAATAGACTTATCTTATTCCTACCTGTGAATCTCATTCCCTTTTCCTTCTACTTTCTGTTGTTTCAGTACATTTGATACCAAGTATTTCAAATTAATTTCCTTTCTTCTTAAATTAATGAAACAGCCTTGCTTTCCAATTCCCGTAAGACTTTAAGTTAAACTTCGCCTGCTTTTCCAATCCCTCCCCTTCTCTGACTGCCTCTCCCCAACCATTCTAGCTCATGATTCACCCACTCATTCAAGATCAAGCAGGTTTTTTTTTGTGTGTGTGGCTGCACTGTGAGGCTTTCAGGATCTTAGTTCCCTGACCAGGGATTGAACCCGGGGCCACGGCAGTGGAAGCACAGAGTCCTAACCACTGGCAGCTTCTATTTGCCAAGCACTGTATTAAGTGCCTAGAATATGGAAAGGCCTAATACCAAGACGCTGAGCTCAAGGAACGCATAGGCTACTAGGAGACAGACATGAGGTGGATGCATCCTCAAACTGAGATCCTACTCCAGAGCAGGACAAAGAAAATCAGACCACCACAGTGCTACTGTGAATTCCTGGCCTTCCACTTTAATTGGCCCTCTGTGCTCCTTAAGTGTCCCTAGCTCAGTTTTCTCTTACAGGTAGTGTGGTAACTATTTCAACCTTTCTCCCCGTTCCTAAATTTTCCAACCCTCTATCCTAACTCTTCACTCGAGGCACGGCTTTCTCTGCATCAAAAAATTGTGCAGTTCAGCTGTCAATTTCCTTAACTTACCAACCCACCCGCATCTTCCTCTCCTTCCATTTCTCCTGCAACAGAGAACAGACCTCTCTCTCTAAGGCTAATCATTTCACCATGGTTCTACACTCTGCACACTCTCTCCTTCTGAGGAACTGACCCCTGCCTGCTACATCATTGGCTTTTCCCTCACCAACCGCATTTAAACATGCCACAGTCGCGCTCAACCCCAAATGAAAATCCCTTAATTCTAATCTCCTTGAGTCTCCCTGCCGCTTCCTAAAAGCTGCGCACACTCTCTGCCTCTATTTCCTCACCTCCACTCAGTCAACTCACTGCCATCTGGCTTTCTACCAACCGTTCTTCTGAAACTCTCCCTGCAGAACAGCTCTTTGTTGCTAAGTGCAGACAGCCCCTTTCAGTTCTTATCTCACTGTTCTCCCGGCAGCATGTCATCCCTCCTGCTCCGTCCCTCTCCAAGCTTGGTTTCACTGACTTCACGCTTTCATCCTGTCCTACTGGTTTTCCGCCTTAGTTTCCTTTGCTCCGCTGCCTCTGCCCATCCGTCAAATGCTGTTATTCCAAGGGTTCTCTCCTTGGTCGTCTTCTCAGTCTTCCTGATCTTCATTGTCACATTTTTAACATGCTGAGGACTTCCAAATTTGTATCTGTAGCCAGATTGTCCTCCTGAATTCCAGACCTCTAACAGTCAGTCACCTGGCATTGGTATCTCTCCCGGGACATCCACAGGCACCTTATATTCAAACATGCCAAACAAGTTTACACCTCAGGTCCCTTGCCCTTGCTCTTCTTTCTTTCTGGAATGCTCTCCTCAGATATTGACATAATTGGCTCCTGTGTATCATTTGGGTCTCAGTTCAAATGTCACCCCCTCATCTGCCTTTCACAACATTCTATAATGACACTTAAAACTACATGAAGTTATTGTATCTACTTCTTTATGGCTTTTCTAACTATTAAAATGAGAGTTCCATAACAGCAGAGACGTTGTCTATTTCATTCACTGATGTATAGCTAGCTACACTGCCTGACACGCAGTAAACCTCAAGAAATACCTACTGTGGGAATTCCCTCGTGGTCCAGTGGTTAGGACTCTGTGCTTTCACTACTGAGGGCATGGGTGCAATCTCTGGTCGGAGAACTAAGATCCCACAAGCCGCAGCGCGGCCGGGAAAAAAAAAAAGAAAAAGAATTAAAGAAATACCTATTGAATGAGTAAAAACTCCCAAATTATGAACCTTGGAAACATTATGCTAAGTGAAAGAAGCCAGTAACAAAAGGTTACATATTGTAACCCATTTATATGAAATGTCCAAAAGAAGATAATCTGTAGAAATGGAAAGTAGATTAGTAGTGGCCTAGGGCTGGGGAAGTTGGAGGTAAATGGATATATAAGGGCTTCTTTTCGGAATGAAGAAAATGTTCTGGAATTAGACAGTGGTGATAGTTGTAAAACTCTGTATATATTAAAACCCATTGAACTGTAACTTTAAATGAGTGTGCTGATGTGAATTCAACCTCAATAAGGCTGTTATAAAACAATAAAACTCCCAAATTTACTCCAGACCTGCCCCATCTCCTGTACTCCTGGAGTGAACAACACAACCACTTACCAGCTGTCGTACCTAGGAGTCCGTGTCATCCTAACAGTCCTCTCTACACTGCCTTTCCCCCAACAACGGCCCCTTACAATACATCTGATCGGTTACAAAGTTCTGAAGATTTCACTTCTTTACTGTCTTAAACCTCTCTCTGTCCAATCCATTGCTGCTCATTTCACTCATTCCAAGCTCTCACTGCTTCATCACTTGGTTTATTTCAATTCATCCCACTGGATTCTCTCCACTTAATCCAATTTTTTTTTTTTTTTGGCCGTATCACGCGGCATGCGGGATCATAGCTCCTCCAACCAGGGTTGGAGCCTGTGTCCCCTGCCGTGGAAGCTTGGAGTCTTAACCGCTGGACCGCCAGGGAAGTCCCTTGTTCCACCCTTTTATTCATTTGCTACACTGCTGCCAGGAGCATCTTCGATCTTCCTAAAACATAATTTCCATCACATCCCATCCTTGCTTAAGATCCTTCCTTGGCTTTCTATAACTGGTGATAAAGACCCCAAATCCTTACACAATGTCCTTCATAAGCTGGACCCTGACAGCCTCTACCATCTCATCTGCTAATCTTCTAGCCACAGCCACGGGGAGACTGGCCACAAACAGAGCCCTCTCATTTTCACACGTGCCACTTCCTCGGCCTGGAGCATCCTTGCCCACACTTCAGCTGTCTTTAATTCCTACTCATTCTTTAGGCCTCAGCTCGTATCATAATTTCCAGGATGCATGAGGTGGCATTCTCATCTCTGCTGGAAATCCCTTTTGCACTCTCACGGCCTTAGTGCAATGCCTATCTGTACTCTTACAGTAGTCACCATTGACTGAGCACCTACCGTGAGCTTTACTCTGCACAGTTAAGTACTGCTATACTATTTCCACATGAGGAAATGGGTTCAGTGAGGTTGCTGTCCTAGCAATCGATAGTGTACAGATAGGACTTCAGGTCTGACTCCAAAGTGATGGTCTGCTATTCCTCCAAACTATCTTTCCGGTACTTTTCATGCGGCGCTGTAGCTCCCTCCAAAAGGGTGAATTCAGTTAACTCAGCCCTCCGTCTTATTTGTATCCCTAGTGCCCAGTGTGGCCTTGACACTTGCTCAGTGTTTGCTGAGCACAGGAAGAGAGGGCAGGTGTGAACTGAGCAGCGGCAAACTTGGGGCACGTCCCCAGTAGGTGCTCAAGGAGTCCTTACTAAATGAACATGTAAAGGAAATATTTCTGCCTTTTGAAAAAGGCACGTGTTCATGTGGTGCTGACTCATTTCTAACAGTGAGCATGTTTGTGGATTCTAGCTGCTCACTTACAGAATAAGTTCCTCCACATTTATATTTCCCTTTCTAAGCAGCATTCCAGATCTGTAAGGTGCTTCTCTGACAGAAGGCCATTTCCAGTGAAAGGCCAGCCCTCTCCTGGTCAGTCAGGGGCTGAGATTTTGTCCTTAACACCTCGGCTTTTTCTTCCCTCCTTATTCTCCCAGAGTTGGAGCTCTGAATGGAGCTCACAGCGAGTCCCTAATTTACTTCCTTTCCCATCTTGGCAAATACCAAGTTCTGGAGGTAACAGGTTAGCTCTTCCTCGCACTGCCACAGCCTTATCCAGGTCCTCCTCTCATCCTGCCACGCTCGGCGTCACCGGTTCCCTCAGAGCTTGCCACTCTTTGGCGAGCAAGAAAGCGCCCAGCGGCCCCACAGACCTTCTTTCCCCGCCCCCCAACTCCACATACTCTCCTCCCTTGGAAAAAGCAAAATCCCATGAAACCGAGCAGGCCCCTTCCTATCCACAGTTCTCCAAAGCCCTGCATCCGGAGGCCTGGCCCGCAACTGCGGACCAAGGGACCAAGGGCCGACTGCAGAGGCGCGCCGGCTGCGGCCGACTGAAGAGCCCAACCACCCAGGTACCCTCCTCGCCTCACAACCCGTGGCTTCATTCCCTCTCGCCGGTCCCTTACAGGGGTCGGATCAGCAGCTGGTCACTCTCTTCTGCGGGAATCGCAGACATCTGCAAACGGGGACGAGGAACAGGTTGCGGGAGGCTTTCTAAATTGGAAGAGCAGCCACAGGGAACCCAGGGGGACGGTCGCCGTCCGCCGAGAGCACAACTTCCGGCGCCCGGGCGTCAGCCACCCTAGGCTCCTCCCTCTAACTTCCGGTCGTAGAGCAAGGTCGGTCCGGGCACCGGGGGCGGGGTCAGGGCTGCGCCTGCGCGAGGCTTCGGAGGCGGGGCCCGGCGGGCGGGGCCACTGGCCTCGAAAAGCGGGCGCTGATTTTTGACACGGAGTGGCTGCCGCGGCTCGGGCTGCCTAGGCTGTGGGTGTCTGACCCCGACCGCAGTCGGCGTTGAGGTGAGAGCCCGGCCCTCGCCGCGCTTGGGCTGAGCCTGGCCGGGAACGCGGGTCCCGAGGGCGGCTCCGGTGGGGAGGCCTGCGGCGGGGCGGATGGGTGGGGCCGCGGGGGCCACGGTCTCCACCGGGACCCGCCTTCCCTGGGTGGGGGACCCAGGCCCGAGGCGGCGCGGGGCCGGCGGCGGGAGCCGAGGAGCGGGCCCGGGCCTGCGGGAGGAGGCAGTGCCTCGGTGCCGATTCCTGTCTGGGGTGGGACTGCAGCTCCGGTGACGATGGGTGTGGCATGTGGCGTGTGTCTGGGTCCGGTCGGAAGGGAGATGGAGTGAGAGCATCCGCGGGGCTGCTCCCCACGTTCCTCATGTCAGGCTCTGATTTGAGGGGCGATGGAGAGCGTTCACTTTTTGTGCGGGATCCTGTTGGTTCCTCCACGCGTCGTGGCTGTTTCCCCGCAGCGCGGGTCCGGGGTTGCGTCTGTTTTGTTTACTGTCACCGGCACGTGGCAGGCGCTCCCGACAGGAGCTGGGCGGGGTCTTGGAAAGAGCTTTGGAGCCAACTCTACCAAGGTTCCAAATTTGGCCCCATGCATTACCAGCCTGGTGGCCTTGGGCAAGCTGCTTCATCAACTTTGCACTTTGGCTGCCTCATTGGAAAGGGGCTGTAATACTGCAACCTTGCTGGTCAGTGGAGAGGGTCAGAGGTATACACAGATGGCATAAGGGTGTGTGTGTATGTGAGTGTATAAAACATCACCTGGCACTGGGTGGCAGATGGTAGGTGCTCAGGACGTGGGAGTTGTCATCTGGATGTTATCTCACAAGAAGGTTCTCCGGTTCATTAAGCATGGCCTCTGCCAGGCTGTAGCAGGCGTCGGATATACGGAGCTGACCTAGCCCTGGTCTTTGATGAGCTCACAGTTCTGAGTGAGATAGTTACAAGTAGACAGTAGCTAACTAATGCTGAGATCAGGGTATAAACTCAAGCTGTGGAAGACCCACCCCGTAGCCCAACCTGAGGCTTTCTAGAAGAGAAGCCTGAACTGAGTCTTGGAAGGTGACTGGTTAGCCAAATAAATAGAAGGTGGAAGAGCATTCTAAGCAGAGGGAATGGCAGGAGCAAAGTGTGGAAACAGGGAGCTGAGTGCATGCTGAGAACCGCAAGCCAGTTTGCCTGCATTCCTTACAGATTAATTGAGTGTGAAACTGGTTGTGGACGATGAGGCTAGGGGTCCACACGAGCCCGGTCATGGAGGACCTTGCGTGTGCTGGCAAAGAGCCTGACTTCAGTCTCTAACTTTGAGGAGGCAACAAAAGATTTGAAGCAGGTTAAATGGCATCTGACTTGAGTTTTAAAGAAATCATTTCAGCTGGAGCTTGATGACAGAATTGAAGCGGCAAGGAGTCCAGCTGGGACTGATACCGACCAGGGTTCTTGGCCTTCCCCATCAGTAGAAATGGATAAGAAGCCAGTCCAGAAATTCAGGCAGGGCTTGACTGGGGCTCCTGCAGCTGCAGGAGGGGAGCGAAAACAAGTAACAGGTTCCCTTGCTCGCTCCTCCCCGCCAAAAGGGGCCAGAGCGGTGGGAGGCGGGCAAGCTCGTTCCTTACATGGGGTGAGGGTAGGGGTGTGTCCAGGGGTCGGGCGGAGGGGCGGCTGAGGTGTTTCGCCCACCCCCTGGCGGTGTTGAGCGCAGGGGGGCACGCGCAGGACCCTGCTTTGGCTCTCTGCTCTTCAGAAGTGGTAGTTGGGGTTTTTTTGGTCTTTTTGTGTTTTGTTGTCCAGAATTTGCCCCAACTGCACGTGCATGCACGCAGTTATTTTTAGTTCCTTTATAGTTTCTTTGTATCTGTTACTCGAGAAGACGTTTGTCCACTTGCAATCACTGCAGCAAAGGGTCCCAGGTCCCAGTCTGTCTCAGGACAAGGTCCCTCACCCTTGAAATATCTCCTGATGGCTTGTGAATTCCTTACGTTGTATTCCAGACTTTGTGCATTTTTATGGGTTAAGGGTCCATTGCTTTCATCACATAATGAAAAAGTGTTTCTGTATAGCCATAGTCTAGGATGATGCAGGCCCTGTTTAGAGACATGGATGAGGGAACTCTTCAGGCGGTATGATCAGTGCATCTTGGACTTGGCTGGATGTGAGGGCTGGAGGACAGAGAGGAGTCGGTGATTTCCTGGTTTCTACCAGAAATAATGGAATTTATTGAAAGGGAGAGGAGAGGGGCAGCTGTGGAGGGGAAGAGGATGGGCTCTGCTTTAGGCCTTTTGGCCTTTGATGAGTCTGTGGAACATCCAAGTGACAGTATCTTCAGTCTCATTTTTATGCACGAATAATTTAGAGACAAGAATGACTTGCTTAATTAAGAACATGCATCAAAATAGTGGCAGATATCAAAGGTTTTCATAAATGCATTTCCCCTTCAGCTCCTAGATTGATGATGGAAAGAAAGTCTTAAGGAGTTGCAAAGCCCTTATTAAGTAGTGATTTTCGAATCGTTCTAGTATTCCAGGGGTTTGAAGAGATGCTTCAGGATTTCATAACAATACTATCAAATTTTAAAAAATCATATTTAAAATTGTTATTTATATATATATATATATATATATATACACATATAGTACTTATATATACTTAAAATGTAATGTGCTTAAATATGCTATACACTGGCCCTCTAGCCCATCAGTTGCGGTATTTTGTGCTGCCAGGTTAGCCCAGCTCTGTGCAGACCGTGGAATAAGGCGCTCTCGCTTCTCCTTCTAACTGAGGAGTATCCTGTGATGGCAGGGCTCTCGTTTGCAGCGAATTATCCACGGAAGCCTTCTAAGCAGGCCCCCTCTTTTTACTCTTGTCCTGTGCAACTAGTTCCCTACCCAGCAGCCAGTCATCTTTCTAAAACAGAAATCTGATCATATCACCTGACTGCTTTTTTAAAACCCTCTGAGTCTTCCTGTGAAACCCAGAACAAAACCCCAGCTTTCGCTGTGGCCTGCAAGGTCTCCCGTGGCTCTTTCCCTCCTGTCACTCTCCCTCCTCCTCCTATTCTTAGTCATATTGGCCTCTCACCGGTCTGTGCGTCAGAGGACGTCCACTCTCGGAGCTTCTCCTCCACGTTCACGGCTGCCCCCCACTTCCCTCAGGGCTTAACTCTCACTTCCTCAGAACATCTTTTTCTGTCTAAAATCGTCCCCCCTTCCTTTGATCACTATCTCCTTAAGTTGCTTTAGTTCCCCTCGTAGCAATTATTGTTTCCAAATAATGTGTTTTATATTTGGTTTTCCTGTTGGTCTGTCTACTCCCTCTAAAAATGAGCTCCCTGAGGTCAGGGGCTTTTTCTGTCTTATTCACTGGTGCATCTCCAGCACCTGGTAGGTGCTCACTGGCTACTCAGGAACGAATGAATGAATCACATGTTCTCGTTACTCCACAAATGAAGCGGAAATATAGAAATAAGTTGGCTGATGGGGCTGATTAAAAAGCTTGGGCTCAAGTGAAGTTTTGGGTCAGTGGCCTAAGGTCAGATGCTAGTGAGTGGATTTAGCGGGGGTGGCCCTCCAGATTCAATGGCAGAAACTGTGTGTTGGAGAGGGGCATGCATTGACCACCCCGTGATTTACTCATTCTTTTCCTTCATCAGGTCCCTTGTTTTTCTGACAAGAATTGACCATGTCGGAATGAAAGGAAGCTATCTGTGCAGACTGCTGTCTGTTGAACGTTTGAAGACGATAAGATAGTGTTCGATTCTGTAGTGAGCAGGTTCCCTTGTTCCCTCTGTAGAACCAACCTTTAGGAAACATTTGTTAGGTTCTTGTATTCATAAATCCTCCTGAAAGATGGGTCACAGTTCCCTTGTCTACAGAATGCAGATTCTAACCTGTCTTCTGTAAGCCCCCTGATGGGGGACCTAGAGCTCCAGCAGAGACCCTCAGAGAACATCTGTGTCACCAGGTTGCTGTGAGGATAAATTGAGACAGTGTGTTTGGAAGTACTTGAACTATGAAACATTATGCAGGCTAGTTCGTAATTTTCCAAGTATAATATATGTGCTCCTATGAAATGTGCAAGGAGAAATCGAAAATTTTAAAAAAGAGATACATAAGCCTGACTCTGGGAAACTTAAGGTCACCTCCTTCCCTGGCCTTACTGGAACGAGATGAGAGGTAGCACCTGGCAAGGTTTTCATGTCAGCCTTTACTTAAAGATAGTTGGAGACTTTAAGAAAAATGCACATTTCCGAGATGTGTCAGCGCCTTCAGTTCTTAGCCCTGCCATTCACAGAACAGGAACTGGAGACAGTGACGTGGTTGATAAACTGATATGTCACATATTTTACTAACGTCTTGACTTGGTTAAAGAGAAGGCAGGCACTTGAATATATTGAGAACTAGATGTTACTTCTGAACAGTGCTTTTCACACCTCCAGAGATGCCAAGAAGGTTCCTACCTTTTTGGTTTATTGGGTTAGAATCCTGTGATTCAAAAAGAGAATAAGAATGAAAAAGAATAATACCCACATTTTGTGGTCAACGGAAAATACTTATGTTTCAAGTAAAAGGAATATGCCGTGGAACTGGGAGGAATTGATGGCTTTTATTTATTTTTATTCCTATTACGTGTAAAGGGATTTAAAGTTGCTTTTCTCCATGTATCTAACCAACCCTTGTTCTTCCAGGGGGCGTGCCTCTGGATCAAGCTATGGTGGAAGATGTTTCGGAAAGGGAAGAAGCGACACAGCAGTAGCAGCTCCCAGAGTAGTGAAATCAGTACCAAGAGTAAGGTAGGGGTGATGGCGTGGAGGCCGCAGTCGTTAAGTGGTGAGAATTTTGTTTCTTCTAACCGATGCTGCGTGAAGGGTACTAACCCCGGCAGACCTGCTGATGTTCTTCAAACTAGAGGTTTTTCACATTCATTTTTTTGCACTCGACACGCATTGTGCGCTTGATTTAATTTTATTTTGTTTTGGTAGATTTTCTGGAGTTCTTAACTCCGCTAACCTAGAGGGATCGGGACTTCCAGATGGTCTCTTTGAAACGCTGATTTTTAAATTGTTTATATGACAGGAATTGCAGGCACTCGGGGAGCTGGATGTCTTGAATTCTAGGGCTTGAGGTGTGTGTGCAAATTATAATTCTGTTTAGTCACGGTGAGTTAGTTGCATAGTGAGGCAAATGCCCTGGTGTGAGTGTGCGGGACCCTTCGAGTCCCAAGTCCTGGTCCACTGGGTCCGCTAGACTAGGACTAGAGAGCCTTTTTAAGTCATTTTCCACCCTTGTGAGCTCTCGGTGCCCAGTGCCAGGACTGGGTGAGGCAGGAGAGGAGCCCTCGGCTCACACGCACGGGTGCCCGCCTCCGGGGCGCCTCTCACCAGCCTGTGGGCAGCACCCTGGGTGACGACGGCCACGCCCAGGGACGGACACACGCACCACTGCCCTTCGGGAGTTTCCAGCAGGCAAGGGCAGCGGTGTTGTCACTGAGCTGTCAGCACGTAGCCAAAAGCACCAAAACCTGACCTTTTAGCAGTCCTGTGCAGTCTTAAATGGGAAAATCGACCGTTTTCCTGTCAGGTTTCAGAACTCCTGAAGCTAGCTGAGACCCACCCTGCTGTTACCTAAGTGTGAGGACCTCAGCCTGGGAATCAGGCCCAGCTTCCTGTTTTCTAGATCAGAAAGTGGATAAAGGGAGACGTACTGACCTGCGGCTCGCAGAGTAGGACCAGAGCGCGGTTTCTGATTCCTGAAGGACCTGCTGCCCCGGGCAGGTGGCGGAGGCAGGGCCAGAGAGGTGCAGGAGGGCCGCGGGCCCGGAGGGAGGTCTTACCCCGAAGTGATGGCGAGCCTCGTGCGGTTCCTAAGCAGGGTGCTGTGACTCAGATTTGTGTTCCAGGATGATGTAAGCTTCTGCCATTATGATTCGGAACCTCAGAAAAATAGGCCAGTTTCTCCCTTCCTGTTCTTCTGTTCTGAGGGCTCTTAGGTTCTGACAACCTATTTGCTTTTCCCGTGCGGAGGGGTAATTTGAAGCACAGAACCTCACTCTGTTACATGCTTCCCAGAAGCCAGCCTGACTTTGTAACGGCATCTTAATTCCAACTCCCCTTCCGTCACCCTTTGAATATTTAGGTTTTTTTCCGATGTGTCAGAACCACACACATTGATGTGGAACTTCTGTGTGCATACAGCTCTGCTCTTAGTTTATATTCCAAGAAGTGCCGTTATTAAGAAAGGGAAGAAGTAAGGCTTGATACATTTTTGCATTCACCTTGATTCACTTCTTAAACATCTAAAATTTCGAGTGTACTTTTAAAATTTAATTTTGATTTGAAGTATAAAAAAGTGATTTTTTTCTTTTTTGGCCGAGCTGCGCAGCTTGCGGGATCTTAGTACCCCGACCAGGGATTGAATCTGGGCCCCGCCAGTGAAAGTGCCAAGTTCAAACCACTGGACCGCCAGAGAATTCCCAATAAGTGATTTGTTTAATCAGAAGTTTTTACTGTTATTTCTAAAAAATGAGAGTATGATGCTGTAGAACAAACTATACTAACATGTATGATTCATTAAATTTTGCTTAACAGATTTGTTGGTTTTTCTTTGTAATTCACATTGCAGTTATGCTCTGGTCCACCAGTCGGCCTGTGTTTACCTGTTGTAGGCCAGGTAGTAGTTGGAGTCATTGCAGATGCTGGGGAGAGAATTAGGAGATGTAGATTAGAGATCTAGGGTATTTACTAGATGTAACCTTGGGTAAATCACTTCACCTGTCTGTGTCTCTCCGCTCATTTACTAAACAGGATAATATTAACTCCCTGCCTGCTTTCTGCACAGGGTTCTTTTGGGGTTCTTTGGAAATATTACAAAAGCAAGGTGTAGGTTTTCACATATGACATAAATATCAGGTATCTTATAAGGAGATACAGGTAGTGGCTCTGATTTAAACTGGGAGTGTTGACCTCACGTTTATCCAATACTGTGTGATGGCAAGAGCAGTTGGGACTGTCTTCTTTTTTGGAAGTTTGCTAAGGAATTTGTCTTTAGAAAAATCTGTCCCAGTCGATCTACCTGAATAGTTGACCTGATTTTATATGTGTTAATTCACCTGTAATAAGTCATTTGAACGTTTGGTAGAGAACTTGAGAGAAGATAGTGCTTCTAATTGCGTTTACAGTTTTTCTGTTGGTTTGTTATTTCTCAGTCTGTAGACTCCAGCCTTGGGGGGCTCTCTCGATCCAGCACGGTGGCGAGCCTCGATACGGATTCCACCAAGAGCTCAGGTACGGAGGGCGGATCATTTTGGCGAAGGCTGCTAACTGACAGCTTGTGCAGTTTTGCCAGAGTAGCACAAGGAGTCCTTGAGTATTTGGGGTTTTCTTCCTCTGCTCTGCCAGAAATGGTCCAAGATCTGGTGGAACGCGGGTTGGGGTGGCGGGTGGGTGGTGAAAGACGCTGCCTTGGAGGAAACTGCTCTTAATGGTTGTGGAGCAAAAACTTGTGGAAAACTTCATGGTGACAGTTTAGAAGTGTCAAAATAGCTTTGTAAGAAATGGGCTGGCCGACTGTGAATTATTTTGGAATTACATTCTTCGTGGGGGGTAAGACAACGTCCTGCTGAGTAAAAAAAGTTAACATCAGGAGCATGTGGTAACGAGGGGAGCATGTGTCACAGGCCCTTGAAAACATTTATGCAGCCCCCCAAAAGGAGCAGCTCTTCAGAAATCAAAAGGTGGTTTTTGACCCACGTGCTAGCGGGTGTCTAATTGGAAACCTACTACATTCATTTTCTTGTATAAAATCCTTCCCCTTTTCCTTTCGGGATTATAGGCGATTCTATCCATAAAAGGTGGTAGGAGTGGGAGAGAAGATGTAAAAGGGAATATAGTAGCATAAGGTCTATTGTCTTTACTTCCAGATGCTTTAAAACATTAAAAATGTGGGCATCTTTTTATTACATAAACATAATCTAAAAGTGACCGCAGGGTATTCCTTTACTATTGCAGATGTTGTAAAATCCTTTGTGGTACTTTTGTACTGGCTGGATTTTACGGCACACACGGTTCTTCACCTATTACCATCTGTTTTGTGAGGGACTTCCTGTCTGGCATTATTCCATCTACATTGAAAAAAAAAATTTCTGGTCTTTTCTGACTGAATGGGAGAGGTAGATCAGGTTTCCTGAATCAGGAAAGGAATCTAAAAGTGACAGGTAAAAAGGGAGAAGAAACCAAAAAATAATTAAATGTCATATGCATTACAAAGGTACTCAATCATTGTCAAATTGACAATTTAGTTTTCTTCTTTTTGAAGAAGAAATGAAGCGTAGTAATAATTTATTCCTTTTGAGATTTTTATATATTTAGTACATTGTGAGTCACTGAGGAAAAGGTTAGTGAAATTTTTAATTCTTTCCCATGACATCAAAAAGTTTGCATTTAAAATTTTTAAATTTTTATGAAAGGTTAACTTCTGATGACACTCTCTGTTTCCTGCCCGGGGAGAGGTTGAGGATACCCTGTAATGCAGCCATTTCTTCTAAAGTCTTACTCTTACAATTTTTCTTTTCACCTTTAGGACAAAGCAACAGTAATTCAGACACCTGTGCAGAATTTCGAATAAAATACGTTGGTGCCATTGAGAAACTGAAACTCTCCGAGGGAAAAAGTCTCGAAGGGCCACTAGACCTGATAAATTATATAGATGTCGCCCAGGTAAAAAAAAAAGTTCAATTTTCTCAGATTCCAGAGTGAACTCATTGGCTTTGGAGAAAGATAGCACTCTTCCAGGTCTCCTCACTGCTCCTCCTGAAGCCGCGCTTTTATCACTGTTAGTTGTTACTGAGCGCTGGGGTCAGAGGAGGTACAGGGCACCTTGGATACCGAGTCGAAGAGGAGCACAGGGACACAGTCCCTTCCTTCACACAGTGCTTTTCACTTTTTCTGGGGCTGACTGAAAAAGTCCCCTTGTTTAAATGGGGAGCCGAGGGCTTCCCTGGTGGCACAGTGGTTGAGAGTCCACCTGCCGATGCAGGGGACACGGGTTTGTGCCCCGGTCCGGGAAGATCCCACATGCCGCGGAGCGGCTGGGCCCATGAGCCATGGCCGCTGAGCCTGCGCGTCCAGAGCCTGTGCTTTGCAACGGGAGAGGCCACAACAGTGAGAGGCCCGCGCACCACAAAAAAAAATAATAATAAAAAAATGGGGAGCCAAGTACAGTGGCTGGGTACACACCACAAGCTTATCTCTAAAAGTCTGGCAAGTCTTACTGTATCACCGTTGAACTAGGTTCAGCTCTTTGAATAATCTAATTCATAGTGGTGTTGACCTACCATATCTATTTATTCATACCCTGTTTCCAACAAGAACTGAGGTAAGTTTCAAAAATATATCCTGGTCAAGAAGATAAAAAAATAAATCATCACGAAGGAAAATTTAGTGTGAAAATTAAGACAAATCAAGGTGTCAGGTTTGTGCCTAAAGTATTGTAAGGTCCGTACCCTTGCCAGAGTTGGGAGTGGATGAGCCAGAAGACTTAATACTGTCAACAGTTAGTAACTTGCTTCCCAAGTTTCTAGAAGATGGAATTGCTTGTCTTTGTGTTCATTAACAACGGGATATTACTGCAATGGAAAGAGTCCCTTATCAATTTATAGCGTGCTGGTTACTATTAAGAGTATATAGTCTCTTAACTCATGGAGATGGGATCCTTAAATATACTGTTTCATATCCTCATGAAAGTGAAGGAAGTCTCTGGTGTCTCAGGGGAAATCAGCTGATCTAATCTGCCATTTAACAGACAACTGTTGGTAGTCTGGGCAAACACAATTATCCCAGCCTTTAGTTTGAAATATAAAGTCATTCCAACGTGCAAGCAACAACTAATCTAAGTAAAGTATTCTACTGAAAGATTGCTAATAATGTTTTCTCCCAAAAGTACACTAGGCTTTTCATTCTGACAATGACTGCTCAATTTCTCACATCACTGTAGAAATGGGGCTTATTAGAATTCCATTATTGACGATAGCATTGCTATTAGCCCATCTGTTGATTCTTGGAATTGATTTAACCTGCTGTGAGAAATGATTGGCAAGAGTTTACTCTTGCATGTGAGGACCCAAGAATTAAGGTAGGTGGACATGGCTCGTTTACCATGATCTCTTTAGTGCAGGCAAATGGTTCCACAGAAACACTGACCGTATGGAATATCTACTGACTGCCAGCAACATCATATTTGTTTTAGAGAAGGCAAGTTAGGCTACTTAACAGATAAAACTGGACCATCTGCTAGGGAAACCATCAGGCATCATGTGCTGTTTTACTTGTTCTGAATAGCTCAAAATACTGACTGATATTTTTGAGAGCTGAGTAACCATTCTTCAAGCAGCGTTTACTTGTCCAAAGCCCTGGGGCACTGGGAATACCAGACATACCCAACACCCGGCTAAGATGTAAAGCAGCTGAGAAGAATGGCTCTTGCTGCATGTTACCTGTCACTTAATGTGCTGACATGAGTATAAACTTTGAGTAAAGGGCCTTCATTTTTCTAATGTTTCTAATGTAAGTATTTATTTAAGCCTCACTGGGATCTGTGAGGAGTATCAGTTTGTAACTGGGGTTAACAGTAAGCATGGGGTACATGGATCTGAGTTTTGGTCAAATTTGCAGACTGTAAAACAGGTCGGGGGGATATTTCTTCTGCCTCTTTGGAAAGAAATTCCTGCTGGGCTGTTGTATGCCCCACATTCTTTAAAGGGTTTGGGTTTATGATGGCCAGATGCTAAAATTGACCAATCAGAATTAGGAATGAAACATAATTTTTTAAAATGTATATTATGTAATTTATTTTTACTTTAAAGCAAGATGGAAAGTTGCCTTTTGTTCCTCTGGAGGAAGAATTTATTATGGGAGTTTCCAAGTATGGCATAAAAGTATCCACGTCAGATCAGTATGTAAGTAATTTAATTAAGGGGGAAAATGTGTTTTAGGTGTTGGGGAGTTCAGGCCGGGAAGGGCCCTCTTGTAGTTAGGTCTGCTTCTGTTTGCAGAGTGGTTGGTTTGTAAACACTTCTGGCACCTGGTCTTAAAAGTGACCAATTTCCTAGGGTAAATGAACAGGGGCTTTTGCTTGTGTGTGTGTAGGGCCCAAGCCAATCCCCTTCCCTCCCCCGGCTGGTCCCCTAATGCATTTTCAGCTTAGGACTCCATGCCAATTCAGAGCAGGCATCAGCTTGGAAGCTGGGCATAGAGGACGGGATCGTGAACTTAGATCATCTCACTCCATCTTCCTAGAACTTAAGTAGGAGGGTATGATCCTAAAGGCAAATTGGCCCATAACTGAGCATCCTAGAATGTCCCTTTGGGTGAAAAATCTGTGAAACTACTTTCTGCCCGATCCATGGATGGATATGCTTAGTTTAAAACCTCGTGATAAATTCTGCACAGGAAAATGCATCGTAAGAATGGAGAAACATGTAAAATAGCACGCTCTTTCTTCTCTCTGACTTCTGCAGGATGTTTTGCATCGGCATGCTCTATATTTAATCATCCGGATGGTGTGTTATGATGATGGTCTGGGGGCAGGAAAAAGCTTATTGGCTCTGAAGACCACAGATGCGAGCAACGAAGAATACAACCTGTGGGTTTACCAGTGCCACAGCCTGGTGAGGTTTTCAGTCTCCTTGGTTATTAGTCTAATAATTCATCAAACAAAGTGGCAAAACCAGAGACTGTTTAGTCTCTTCAAAGGCTGAAGAGATGCTCTCTGCCATGTGCCTAGCAAACACCTGGCATAACAGGAGAAATGAGTATATCAATCAGACCCCAGGTCAGCCGGGCCAGACCTCCTGCAGGCTGTTTGTTAGGCCAGCAGATGTAAAGCTGGTGAGGGAAAGCGGTGTGTCCTCCAGGGCAGAGCCACGCCTTTCCATACCTTGTTCTGACTCGTGAGGGTCCCTCCCAAAGGCCACGGGGTCCTGTGTTACCGCGTGCACTTCCTGAGGGGCAGAGGAACACGGTGACCCAGGCAGGCCGTGTCCGGGGCTTTCCAAAACTGGTGACGTGTAGGTTTAGGAGAGGCGTTAGGAGGGTCACGTTTACTTCGGGAAGCGATTTATTAACTCTTACTGTATCTTTTCACTTAACGTAGGAACAAGCACAAGCAATCTGCAAAGTTTTATCCACTGCATTTGACTCTGTGTTGACATCTGAGAAACCCTGAATTCTGCAATCAAGGGGAGGCAGGCTTCACGTGCAAGTTCAGCTGTTTTCCCAATAGTTCTGTTTTCACTCTGCAGTGGTGGTGAACTATTTTGGAAACACGAGCGATCCTTGGCTCTGGATTTTCTGAAGAAACGCAATATATAAAATACCAGTCGTTTGTTTTTCTATTAAAATGTGTCTTATTTAACAGTGAGTTAACGCTCAGTGAAGTCACCTACCTACTGGGACTAAAAAAGCAACGTCATTTGTCGCTTTTAAACACAAATAAGCTTAATAACCTTTACGTGTCGCAGAAGTGCCCTCGGTGATGAATGAACGTGGAGAACTTTCCGAGGATGACCAAGGCCGTGTATCCTGCAGCACCGGCAGGTGACACTGCCAACTCAAGCCACAGAGGAAAACTTTAAAAGTGTGCTGTCAGGATGACATGCTGGTAAACCGCAGTAAGTAATGAGAGTAGTCAGACCTTCAGAGGTTGCTGCTCACGCCACAGTCACACACCGTCAAGAATCTCACGTTCAGGAGGCTAGTGTATTTTTTAAAGGACTGTTTTTATACATAGTACTTTACTAAAGATTAAAAACATGAAAAACACCATGTCCATTTAAAAGTATTTTATTTTTTTCCAGTCAAAGGACTAGCTAACAAGAAGAGTAAACTTATTAAACATGCTCTAATTAGGACAATGAAAATAAGAACTGATTTAGGTTATACAGTATATACAGTTGCGCTGCAACTAGACCGAAGTAATCAAGTGAATGAACTGAATATCATACATCTCAGACAGTATCCACCCTGTGGACCGTGGTACCCGCCCACCCCTTCACAGATCACACAGTAACCATTAGTCTGTGGACAGATTTCTGAGTCGCCATCCCTAGAAGTCAGATCTGATGGAGAATGGCATGCCAAATGCCAGAATCCTGCAGCTAAGTTCATGACATGTAAACTTTAAATATAAATAGATTATCTACAATGTTTTCCTTTCTCTCAGTTGCTTTTTTTTTTTTTAATTTGCAAAGAGCAAATAACTAGGAAAGGATATTAGTAGGGAAGTCAATATAATTTCTCCTCTGGCAAGAGTAGTATTAATTACTGCACAACAGCACCACCAAATTGTAGATTGCAAAAATATTTCCTAGATATTGATGTACCAGTGAACCTGATGTATCAGTTTGGGGCTGGTGTTCAAATGCTGATACGAATCAACTTTAATTCCGTATACTGCTCGCACCAAGTAGTCAAAAGGCTGATTATAAGATACAGATGTGGGAGTGTTGTATTAAAATATACATAGGAAGTGCACTGTGCAAAACATCTGTTTACTTTCTTAAACCTATGAGAGAATTAACTAAATGAAGGGTTCAAAACCAGAAATTAACCATTAGTGAAAACAGATGTAGTGCTTTTAAAAAAGACTTTAATTACAGATCTAACACATTTTTTCCCAGAAGTCTGAAAGGCAGATTGCCATACAACATCATAAAACATTCCAGTTTATTCTGTCTCCCTTTATAATAACAATGAAAAAATACAATGCAATTAAAAAAAAAAAAAGCTCTATACTTACAAGAGTCTTGCATAATAAAGACAGGCTGCTTCAATCAAATGTACCATCATAACAAACACACTAACAGCATTGTCCGTCTCCTTGCTTTCCAAGCCTCTTCTTAAATTTGCTCCTTCACTTTGGGTAGAAATCTAAGTGGTCATAATATGCCTGTTTATTCTCAAAGAGTGCCAGAATTTCCAATATACCTACCATGAGTCTTACACAATTACCAAGTAGAGGTATGACAGTAAAGTTCATTAAACTAATGAATTTTTGATTTTATCATATACAACCTAATCCCTCCACCCCCAGTAGCTTAAGAATGATACGATGGACTTCAACAGTAAAACCGGGATGTTTGAGAGTATTTTATTACCTGGGACCTACAGGTTTCTGATATGCTCTTGATTACAAACAAGTGGACAGATTAAATTTCAAGACAGTGTAACTACCATTCCTGTTGGTATATTATATAAATACAAGACACTAAACTGAGTGGACATTCTCTTGGGCTAGAAAGGGAAGGCAGTGGTACACTCGATAGGAAACAGCAAGTCTTGTGGTAATATGGCGGCGGGGGGGGGGGTCGGTCTGCACCACGGTACTCTAGCTGTGTGACGCGGGAGGCTCAGGAAGGCAAATCCCGAACACCTAAAGCGTAGAAACTACTTTAAAGAACTGTTTCGCAGTCCATCAACCTTAGTTTTTAACCAGATTCAGGAAATGCAGTTAATATAATCTGGAACTGAATTAACTGCTGTGACATATGCCATAATAAACCATCTATAGTCGGGTCAAGTAGGCTTGTTCACAACAGGTTACACACACATGCAGGATACACTGATAGTTGCAACCTCACACACCAGGGCTGGAAAGTACAACGCTTATGTATACATTTCCAATAAACATTGGGTGGATTTCAAAGGAAATCTTTAAAGGTATCTTTAAAGAAATAAAAGTCTTTAAAGGTGAACTGAAGCATTTTAGCAGAAAGTGCGGGCTGGCTATGGACTTTGAAAGCAACAATTTCCTGGCTTCCTAAAAAGAATAATTGTGCTGAAGGTCACCAACCCCAGAAGTGGGCCAAGAAAAACAGGACGAATTTCTTTCCCACACTCAAAACATTTTTAGGTTCAACTAATGCTGTAGATTCAGAATCTTCATTATTTAGTTAAAATAACTTTTCAGTTCACCTTTTGGGAATTCAGTTGTTCCTAATAAAAGTGTAGCAATGTTTCATGAAAAACACGAATTATAAAAACAATTCATTGATGTATATAAATTGCCTTTGAGTTTTTAAAGCAGAACAGTGGCCTTAGAGAAAGTGGGCTACCGTACAATTCATGAAACAGGTTATCTGGCAAGAGTTTTGGTACCAATAATGAGACAAGACATAACTTTAAAAAGAAGTGTTTTTGTTCAGTAGCAATTTAGTCAGCAATAAAGTGCACAAATGACACAGGAAATGCTCCTTTGCGACTGGGATCTCCGTCGATGTGGCCGATCTGAAATGAATAAAAGGTTATGTTGTTACACAAATTCCAAATGTTGGAAACTTTGAAGGGCATTACAGCATTTGGAGGGGAAAAAAAAAGATGTGTTTGGAAGAATCTCTTCTGGGAAAGAATTACTTGGGTACAACATCTAAACTGTTTTTCCTTTCGCTCCCGTCTCAAATAGTGCCGGCCTACTACCCGCAGGGACTTCTCTCCGCGGGGAGTTGGTGTCTGCACACACGCCCCACCGTGGGCCTGGTGGTCTCGGGGGGGCAGGCAGCACAGATCAGACCACCACCCCGACCTCCCTTTTTGTTTTTTTTTTTAAATGGATGAAGAAACAATGTCAGAAGTCTGTGCGCTGCCAAGTCACAGAGAGTGGCAAATGTGAGTTGGCCCAAATGTAGTCAAAGCATTTAAGACTTCAGTAAATCCATTTACTTTTGCTCTGGGAAAATTATATAAATTATACCTCAGGTCTGATCTCAACGATGTAAATTAAGTAGTTAAATAAACATCTAAAACAAAATCACCAAAATTTAAATTATTATTTTTGTGTGTGTGAGGGGGATACCCTGAGATTATAGACAGCATTTACTTTCTTTATAGCTTTCTGATTTTGCCACAGTTTTTGAAATGAACAGGTGTTTTCCAGATGCCTAAGCCTGGTGTCAGGCTGGAGCCCCATCCTTGTGGTGGGTTGTACACAAGTGTGAAGGCCAGACCTGTCTCAGGGCCATGTGGGCAGCGGGCGGGCAGAGCCCTGGATGGGCACCGAGGGGCACCAGGAACTGCCGCCCCCTCTGCCGCCCATGGCGTTGACTGCGCTGCGTGGAGCAAGGCTGACGGAGGAAGGGGCTCTGGACCCACAGGCACTTGAACCCCTCGAGGGGAGAGGCCACAAGAAGACCCCTGAACCAGCCATGCCAGAGGCGGTGCCAGGCCCCGAGTTGGTTCACAAAGGCCCTGGAGAGAGAACACACAGCTCACCCAGGAGGGTGCCTGGCTAGGGACTCTGACCAACACCCCTCGCCCTTGAGAGAGCGGAGCTGTCCCCGTGAGTCCTGGCTGCGTCCTGATGGCAAGCATGACCCATCTGATATCTGAGCTTAAGCCCCGGAGCTGGGCCGTTAGCGGCCCCCAGGTGGCAGACGCTGCCAGGCGTGCGGGAGCTGTTTGCATGACTGCCCAGTTTATGACAGCCACTTCTCCCTGGGGGCCACCGTGCCCGTCGCTGCAACAGTGCTCTGTCACCGCCCTTTCTCAGACGAGCTGGCTGTGGCTTAGCAACATAACCACCTTGCCCAAGGTCACCCAGCCTGACCTTGGCCGGGGCTGGACACTCAGGGTCATCAGGGGAAGCGCCACGCTCATCCCATTCCAGCTCCCACCCAGATGCCACAGCTGGTTTCAGGACCAGCCCGACACCCAGCGTCTCTGCCCTCCGGGTCAGCTCTCCCTCTGCGCCCCACTCCACCAAGCCTGAAACGCCGGGCAGGAGGCACCACCGAGAAAGCCAGGGCCTCATCTCAAACCCTCAGGTGCGCTCTGCAAACTGCAGCCCACGTGGCCCGTCCGCCCTGACGAGGGAGGACCCCACTCAGAAGTGGGTGCATGGAAAGGGCAGCTGAGGCGCGCGGGGCACAGTGGGCGACGCCCGGGAACAGACCCCCGGGCCCGACTCACCCACCACTCCTGGTCCTCCTCCCCGTCCACGACAATCACGTCCCCCTCGGAGAACGTCAGCTCGTCGGGATTGTCGGCCACGCAGTTGTACAGGGCTTTGACTCGCTTGGGCTTCAGCTTGGTCTGCGTCAGGGAGAAGAGGGCTCACAGCTTAGTGTGTGGGGAAGCGTCCGCTCCAGGGCAGAGAACCGGGCCACTTTGCTTCCAACTGGTCCCGAGGGCCGCCCGCAGGCCTGGGAGCCCACGGGTGTCAAGATGGGTGGCTCAGCACGCTCGGGGCAGGGGGACATCCAGGTGGAGGCCAGCCGAGGGAAGAGAGCAGGGAGCGGGCCGGCCCGGTGCCTGGTGGGCACGTGGGGGCCTGTCCTGGAGCCGGAAGGGCCCAGCCCACTGGCTGTGGGCTCTGGGTTGCATCCTGCTCCGATCTGAAGGACCAGGTGCCCAGGAAGAAGCCTCCCCCACCCCAACCAGGGCAAGAGGGAGAGTGTCCTCTGAGCCCTTGGACGATAACCCACCCGCTCCTGGCCAGGGCAAAGAGGCAGAGAGGAAGGGGCTCGTCCGCTTACCACCTGTGACTTCCTGGGCATGGGCGCCGGAGGCTGCGTGACCACGGCGTTGGACAGAGGACCCAGAGTTTCTGTCCCAGAGAGATCCACTGCTTTAGGGCCAAAATGAACGGACTTCACAATATGCCCCCTCAGTCAACACCATGAGATAGAAACGACATAAACGCCATCTGTCATAGCCACAAGGCAACTTGCCTGAGATTTCCTAACTGTTGAGGGAAAGTCCCCTAAAGGCCAAAGAGCCTTGTGACTTCCATGCAACCTCCCTAGCGTGTGCCGGCCTGCAGGTGTCACAGAGT